TGCATCCCGGGCTTAAGCGAGTCACCTGCCTCAGCCTCCCAAATAGCTGGGACTACAGGCATGCGCCACCATGCCCAGTAATTTTTGTATTTTTAGTAAAGACGGGGTTTTCACCACGTTGGCCAGGCTGGTCTCGAACTCCTAAGTGATCTGCCTGCCTCAGCTTCCCAAAGCATAGGGATTACAGGCAAGAGCCACTGTACCTGGCCTCATTTTATTTTTATTTATTTATTTGTTTATTTATTTATTTTGTGGAGACGGAGTTTCACTCTTGTCGCCCAGACTGGAGTGCAGTGGCACGATCTTGGCGCACTGCAACCTCCGCCTCCTGGGTTCAAGCAATTCTCTTGCCTCAGCCTCTCGAGTGGCTGAGATTACAGGCATGTGCCACGACGCCTGGCTAATTTTGTATTTTTAGTAGAGACGGAGTTTCTCCATGTTGGCCAGGCTAGTCTCGAACTCCTAATCTCAGGTGACCCGCCCGCCTGGCCTCCCAAAGTGCTGGGATTACAGGTATGAGCCACCGCGCCCGGCCTGATTTGTATTTTTTAATGGCAGCTTTATTGGGATAGAATTCACAGGGCATCTCCCCCATCTGAGGTGAACGATGAGGTGGCTCAGCACTTTCCCACAGTTGTGCAACCAATAGCACAACTGATCCTGGTGCATTTTCATCATCTCAGAAAGAAACCCTGTACCAATCAGCGGTCCCTTCACATCTCCCCAGCCCTTCCCAGCCCTCCACGACCACCAGTCTGCTTCCCCACTCTCTGGATATGCCAATTCTGGGCATTTCATTTACATGGAATCCTGTAACATGTGGTCTCCAGCAACTGGCCTCTTTCATTTTGCGTTATGTTTTTAAGGGCCATCGTGCTGGGGCATGTTTATTACTTTTCACAGTATTGTAAACATAACTTTTGATGTGTTCAACATATAAACTTTAAAAAATCTAAGATACGCCGGGCGCGGTGGCTCACGCCTGTAATCCCAGCACTTTGGGAGGCTGAGGCGGGCAGATCATGAGGTCAGGACTTCAAGACCAGCCCGGCAAACATGGTAAAACCATGTCCTTACTAAAAATACAAAACTTAGCTGGGTGTATTGGCGCATGTCTGTGGTCCCAGCTACTTGGGAGACTGAGGCAGGAGAATCACTGGAACCCAGGAGGCAGAGGCTACAGTAAGCCAAGACTGCGCCACTGCACTCCAGACTGGGTAACAAAGCGAGACTCTGCCTCAATAATAATAATTTTAAAAACCCCTAAGACAAGATATATAAGACAAAGTATCAAAGGTGCTATACATGAAAATGGATCAGGCCCGGTGCGGTGGCTCACGCCTGTAATCCCAGCACTTTGGGAGGCCGAGGCGGACAGATCACCTAAGGTCAGGAGTTTGAGACCAGCCTGGCCAACATGGTGAAACCCTGTCTCTACTAAAAATACAAAAATTAGCCGGGCATGGTAGCAGGTGCCTGTAATCCCAGCTACTTGGGAGGCTGGGGCGGGAGAATCGCTTAAACCCAGGAGGTTGCAGTGAGCCAAGATTGCGCCATTACACTCCAGCCTGGGGGACAAGAGCGAGCCATTGTCTCAAAAAAAAAAAAAAAAAAAAAAACAGAAAGAAAAAAAGAAAAAAAAGAAATAGATCAACAGTGGTTTTCTTTGGATGGTATCCTAATAGGTGACTTTTCAATTTCTTCATACTTTTCTGTGTTAAAAAAAAAAAAAAAGTGTTTCTTTTTTTTAGTTTCAGTCTCACTCTGTCGCGGGCTGGAGTGCTGGTGGTGCAATCACCGGCTCACCGTAGCTCCGCCTCCCGAGTTCATGCCATTCTCCTGCCTTAGCCTTCCAGTAGCTGGGCCTCCCGGGTTCATGCCATTCTCCTGCCTTAGCCTTCCGAGTAGCTGGGACTACAGGTGCCCACCACCACACACAGCTAATTTTTTCTATTTTTAGTAGAGACGGGGTTTCACTGTGTTAGCCAGGATGGTCTCGATCTCCTGACCTCCTGATCCGCCCGCCTCAGCCTCCCAAAGTGCTGGGATTACAGGCGTGAGCCACCACGCCCGGCCAAAGTGTTTCTTTTATAATGGGAAAAATAATTATAAACTTATTCTTAAAAAGGAAAATTCTGGCCAGGCGCGGTGGCTCACGCCTGTAATCCCAGCACTTTGGGAGGCCGAGGCAGGCGGATCACGACGTCAGGAGATCGAGACCACAGTGAAACCCCGTCTCTACTAAAAATACAAAAAATTAGCCCGGCACGGTGGCGGGCGCCTGTAGTCCCAGCTGCTCGGGAAGCTGAGGCAGGAGAATGGCGTGAACCCGGGAGGCGGAGCTTGCAGTGAGCTGAGATCGCGCCATTGGACTCCAGCCTGGGTGACAGAGCAAGACTGTTCAACCCTATATCCGTTGAGGTTAAGGGACCAGACACCCGTGGGGGGTCCCTCCTTTCACTGCCAAGAAGAACAGGAGGTGGCTCACTTCCTGCTCCAGAACCTTCTCGGTGTCCATGAAAGGCAGAAGTCTGGACGGGCAGCTTCTCATGGCTGAGGCGTCATGCTGGTGTCTACCCACAGTACTGCCTAAAAAGAGAAGGACGGTTCCAGCTCCCTGTTTCTCTTGAGCAAACACTGGCCAAGCTGCCAGGCCAGCCACCATCACCTTCCCGGTTCTGAGAGACCCAGCAGAGGCAAATCTGAGTGGAAGCACCCACAAGAGGCCCCTTCCTGGAGTGGGCTGGGCTCACAGGCAGGCCTGAAGCTCCACTGGGGCAGAGGCTGCGTTTCCATCAGAGACTCCCCAGCACTGGGCCTGAATGTAACAGGTTCCCAAAAGACACAGGTTGGAGGGACATTTGTAATGATTACAGGGATGAACCACAGGAGTGACAGGAGGGGAAAAACAATGATGGTTATTAAGAGAACTGGTACCGGAAAGAAGTCAACCCATCCGTCAGGTTGCTTTTCGCTTAGTGAACAGGGTCACCTGATCACCTATGACACGGGAGGGGCTCGGCTGGACCTCCACCCGCTTCTGCCTAATTAAGCCCTGCTTCTTCCCGACCCACAGAAAGCAGAGGAATGAAGCAGCGAAAGCCCGTGCCTCAGACTCAAAGGCACGGGCACGCGGCCCCATGGCCTGAGGACGGCTCCCACAGGCCAAGGAACTTTCACAGGGTACCCAGCCCTTTTGTCTGCTTCACAGGATGCTTTCCTATTCTGCGCACTGGTAACTGAGCAGCGCTTCTATCTGGGGGGCAGGAACACGGTGCACCGAGTGGGGGAGCCGAGAGGGTGGATTCAATTCTCTCTCAGCTGCCTACCAGCTTTGTGTCCTAGGGTAAAACACCCGGCCCCTCTGAGCCAGTTTCCCGTGTTGTCAAATGGGGCCAGAGGCCCTGGCTCTCCCAGAGGACTGCAGTGAAGAGGGAATAGTCGCCAAGCACTGCCCCTCTGCCTAAGGCACATGTGGCTGTTGAAATTTAAATTAAAATTAGAAATATTAAAAAATTCAGTTCCTGGCCGGGCACAGTGGCTCACACCTGTAATTCCAGCACTTTGCGGGGGCCAGGACAGGTGGATTCCTTGAGCCCACAAATTTAAGACCAGCCCGGACAACATGGTGAACGGCCGCCTCTACAAAAAATACGAAAGTGACAGGGCGTGGTGGTGCATGGCTGTGGCCCCAGCTACTCGGGAGGCTAGGGTGGGAGAATGCGTTGAGCCAGGGAGACGCAGGTTGCAGAGAGCCGAGATCACACCACTGCACTCCAGCCTGGGTGACAGAGCCAGACCTGTCTCATCAAACAAAGAAATGAATTTTAAAAACCTCAGTTCCTCAGACACTACAAATCCTGACAGCCGTACGTGGCTAATGGCTGCCCTAATGGACTGCAGGGACACACCAGAAGGAGTCTGTCGTGCCAGAAACTCCTACTGGACGGCCCTGCTCTGAAGAACTGTTATGACTACTACATGGTCGTCAGCTTTTCCTGAGAACGGTGCCCATAAAGTGGCTGCTGGCACCAGGGCGGAACACAGCGGCAGCTGGGAGGTTCCCGGGTGCGCTCGCTCGTGGAGGACTGCCCAGCTCTAACCCCCGCACCTCGCTCATTGAAGAACAGGTGCACACCCACAAGCCGGAGCACAGGAGCCACCTCCCCACCTCCGTGGACCCAGGCGCAGCCCTCCCCTCTTCAGAAAGGGGGGTCTTCCCCTGGAACATGACCTAAAGGACTGAACCACTGAGGCACACATTCATGCACTTGGAATCCAGGCTGCTTGAGTGAACCAAGGAAAACAGAAATTCTTGAAAACTTGAAGGCACATCAGTGCTGAAGAGGATGAACCCCATCCTCACCTACGAATCCAACTTCTGTGGACAGAACATGTGGCTCTGCCTTTGTTAGGCAGCTGAGCAGAATCCCACAACCAGTGGCTAAACCCCCACACACTTGGGTGCAGATCCCGTATCTGCTCATCTCATCCCAGCCCGAAGGAAACAAAAACTCCCACTACACACAAAAGCGAGCATGGGAGTCTTTCAAGAGAGATTCAATACTCCCAAACCCTGAGAGTGTAAAAGGGAAGGATCAGATCTGAAAGGGAAGCTGTCACCCCAGGACCATGGCCCGACCTGCCCCCGGGGCTTGTGCTCCATCTGCTCGCTGGATGAACCTGCAAGGGCCACCTGGGACCAGGCACACCTGAGTTCACAAAGAAGAGGACAGGTCCTGGGGAATAAAGCGTGGCATGGAAAGCTATGGAAGTCAGCCCAGAGAACTGGCTGCTTATAAAATGCTGGAGCAGATGGCCACGCAAGCCAGGGGAGGGGCAGGCCGCAACAAATAACTTCACCCTAAACCTGAACCGTTAGCCCAGTGCATCTGGCCCTCTGCACACCCCAGGCTGCCTCATATCATGCTCAGAAGCAGATCAAGTACATCTTCACATGATTATAAAAACAGGAACTCAGAGCACACAGCTATACTCACATTCCAACAATCACGGAGGGCTCAGGGAGGTTCAGGGGCCCTGAGAGAGTGAAGTCAAGCAACCCAAGCAAGACAGGCGGGGCTGTCTGTGAGCTGGTCCGGGCTGGCACACGGTGGCAGAACACAGATACCTGCACTGTGCTTTCCTAGATGGGCAAGTGTGTCTCAAAGACGCCGACAGGACAAGTGGCAATCTGTTTGATGTGCTCGTTGCCAGTGTGCTGAATTTTGGACAAGAATTCAGGTTACAGCTCAGAGTCTGATGTTCTTCATTACAAACACTGTTGGTTCCCTAGATTTAATGGAGTGGAGAGAAAAATCAACATGCAAGCACTACCATTTTGCTATTTCCACCCCTCCTAATTTAGTCGAAACCAGCACTGTCCATATCGTAACTTTCTGCAGTGATGGAAATGTCCTCCACCTATGCTGTCCAATATGGTAGCCACGAGCCAGAAGTGGCTATTGAGCCTTTGCAATGTGGCTAGTGAGACTGAGGAGCTGAATTCTTCATTTTATTTAATGTTAATGAATTTAAATGTAATTGCCACATGTGGCTGGTGACTACTGAACTGCTGTGTTAATTCAGCACTAATTCTAGAGCTGTGGTTCTAGACTCAACAAGGTAAAGCAAGAACCCACACGCTACACGTGCTAAGCTGGACCATCCAACACACAGCGCTGGCAGTAATAGTGTGGGCAATCTGGCACTGCGTGAGGCCTTTAAGTACAGTGCATGCTTCAGAGTTGGCAGCCGCTGGCAAATTTGGCAAGTTTGCCCAAAGTGTCGCTCTGTTCTAGCCCCTTGTCCAAAGCAGACACTGTTTCCCTCAGCTTCAGCAAAAGCGGATGCTAACCAGGTGTGAGCAGCAACGGGAGAGAGCACTCGTATAATATGGAGCTGAGATTTGAGTCAGCACAAATGTGACATGGAACAAAGTCATTTCAGAGAGCCATAAACAGCCTACTTCAGTCATAAGAGCCAATAATACACTCAGATCTCCTAATCTAGGGTGCTGGGCCATCAGCTAATCCGCCCTGCCCCACCTGAACAGTCATCACCAACTGAGCAGGAATGGAGGCGCGCCCAGAAGTCAGCTCGCTAGCCGCACAGCGGGTTCTGTTTTCATCCCCTGCTCAGCATGGAAAGAGCTTAGGGAAGCTGGGCTCGGGCAAATGACTTTTCCTACAGAACCTGGCTAGGGGTTTACAGCAAAAGCAAACAGAGAGGTAGTCTCCACCCACACCACATTATCTAGGAGAGTTGATGGTGACATCCAAACCACAAAACCAAATGCCACATTCCTGCTGACACACATCTGCGCGTATGAGTGGAGCCTTCAGTTCCAGGCCAAAGGTGCAACCTGAGACCAAGCAGGTAAATGCATGGAGTCAAGCTGTCAGGTGAGGAACCAAGCACTGGAAAGCACTGTCCTAACCAAAAAGGGTCAGCCACTACCCAGTTTTTCAGGGAGCGTTTTATGTGAAATCTGTTGGCAACTAATTTAAATTCTCTTAAAAACTGTTGAGGTTCAACAGTCAGGCACCGGCTCCAGCTGATGCACTGCTGATGTGCCGCCTCCATTTTGAATAAATACTTGTCTCAAGCCAAAGCAAAAACAATTCTCAGGATCTATTTTCTTAGATCACTAAAAGCTTAACCTGGGCTGGCAAGGCTCCTGTTCCCTGCCTGAGGCATCTCTATAAGGCTCTTTTCAGTTGCTTTTAGTCCAACAAGAGGGCGAACGTTTCTAAAACTTTGTTTTCTAAACAGGTTATTTCCTATTGCTGTTTGCATTGAATATCTTGAAAATGTTTGCTAGTTTTTAAGGGCATCTGAAAACCATTGAGGTAACTTATTTAAATGGTCCGATCTAAGAAATACCAGGCGGGAGTTAAACAAACAAAAGTGTGTTTACCACTGCTTTTCCAAGGAAGAGGAAATGCAGAATGGGCGACGTTGGATAACTGGGCTCAAGAATAAAGTGCAAGCAAGCTAACGGTCTCTATCACAACTGCCAAACAGGAAGAATCTTCCCAGCTGGGAAAGCCATCTGCAAGCAATAGCAATGAACACGGGATGGAATCAGTCATAGAAAAGGAATAATGCAGAGTAGTTGACAGGCAGAGAAATTTTCTGGTTAGACAATCCTCACCAAAGAGACGGGGAAAAAAACAACAACAGCAAAACCAAAACTTTTCTTTTTTGCTGACCGCTGCTGTTAACAATCAAGCTTTAGCGGATAGTTCATCCAGGTGGCTCCACCAATATACATCCTCTCCCAAAACTTCTAGTGGCTGAACAGCTTCTAGTGGCTTCCACTAGCTGAAACTGCTTCCCAGAAGCAAAAACTGCAACTTGAACATGTAACACGGAAACTACTCCAATCTCATCTTCTAGAAATCAGTTATTCAAATGGAGGTCTCTGTTGGAAGAAACACGCTCCTAGCTCCCTACCCACACACCATTCATTAGGAAAGGTCACTTTAATTGACTTCCACAGCAGGAGCGCTTGCACAGAACCATCCAAAAGTCTCCAGAATCGCCCCTCGAGGAAGTGGCCGGCTCCGGGGCCGGAAGAGACACATGTGGCGGGAGCTAAAGCTCCCTGGTAAACGTGCAGATCAAACTACCCCTGCCGCGGCGGCCTGCTCTGTGAAGGCTTCACCTTCTTTCTTTCTCCGGGGGCCCTACCTTCCTCGCCACGTCGGGGGCCGCGGCCGAGATGGCCACGCGCGCGGCCAAGCGGGAAGGGTGCTTCGGCCGCCGATCAGCCCGCGGCTAGGCGGGTCCCTGAGGCCTGCGCTGGGCGCCAGTTCCTCTCCGCACCGCCCGGCCTCGGGCCCCGCCCCGCATGGCCGCTGCCCACCTTACCCAGCCCGGCTAACGCCCCTTCCCCTAAGCTCTCCGCCGAAGCCTTCGACCTCGCTCCTACCCGGATCCCGGATCCTCCGGAACTGGAACCCCGTATGCCAGGCGGGGATCGGGGGAGCCTGGGGATACCAGGGCAGGAAGGCTGCTGCAGCCCCCGGAGGCCGCGCTGGGCTCTCCGGCCCCTGAGCCGCCTGCACCGTGGGCAACAAGCCCTTGGATCTCACCTCTCTCGGGCGCTGCCGCCACTGCTGCCCGGGCCAAGACGCCTCCTTCCCCAAGCGGCCATCTTGGAGACACTCCGCTTGCCAACGTCTCGCGCCAAGGCGGCATCGGGAGAGCAGGCGGGCCGACGGGAAATGTAGTCCGCCCCGCTGTCCCGGGACGCTCGGCAGGCGGAAGCCGGGCCTGGCGGAACTACCGCGCCCACAAGGCAGCGCGCCAGAAGCCCCGCCCCCGGGGTCGCCGGGGTCCGTAGTCCTTCTGCGAGGGCGCGAGGACCCCCAGGAGCAGTCCTGGTTCCGACATTTTTGAAGAAACTGAGTTCCCGGCGTTCGCAGCCTGGGAGTCACAGGCGCCCACCCACCGGTAGGTCCTTGGGTTTCGAGAGCCAGCAGGTGAAGGAGAGAGAAGAGGAAAGTGCCTACAACTCCCAGAGCACCGCGCGTAGGCGCCCGGCGCCGCCGTCCCGGCCCGCCAGGCCGCGTCTCCTGCCGGGGACCGCCGCGCTGTGTGCGGGCCTCTAGCGCCCGGCCCCTCCGCGTCGCCCCGCCTGCCCTTCACAGCCTTGGCCCATAAGGTCACCGAGGGGCGGGAGACGCTGCCCGGGTCCTCCTCGGAGTCAGGCGCTGCTCCCGCACTATCCCCCGCCCGATTCAGACTCCGGGGTACTTTGGAGGCCGAGACAGACACGCTGTCCCGGCTGCCACGGAGGTCCCTGCTTGCAGGTGCAGGCTGTTAGAGGAGAGGGTCTGAACGCAAGGAAGGGGAATAGCTGTATGATAACTGCTTGAAGGAGAGAGGGCCCTGCGACAGCGACAGCCCTGTTTCAGACAGGGCCTCCAGGCCTCTTAGACTCAGTCCCTGCCACGCACCCACTCTTGTCCTGTCCGCTGCGACTGCATAATCTCGGGATCTTTGAAGGCAGATGCGGGGCTAAACCATCCCACCTGACGGGAACCCTGCCCCAGGACCTGACATCTCCTTGTCTGGACACTGCTGTTAACGAGTCAGTCAGGAAGGACTAACTGGAACCCAGAGATTCCCAGGTGCTGCTGCCTCAGACCTGTGGACTCTTTGGGGGATCTCTTACAGTTTGTAAACTTCTCAGTTCCTCTACTGCTCCCACACACAACGTTGCTAAACATATTAGTTGGCCCCATAAATACTTGAGCAAAACAAATGCGAAAATCTGCCCCAAGTTCAGCCTAGAAGTCCAGCCCGGCGCGTCACACTTCCGTGTAGTGGAACCCTCGTCCCCACCCACCGCAGGCCACAGCAGGACGGCCAGCAGACGGAAAGGCGACCCTCTCATTGTTGAGGATTCCTTTTGATTTCCTTCCAGCTCACATTCTACCACAGTTTTAGCTGCTTACAATCCTCTCACCGTTCCTCATTACTTATAGTGTGTGATTCAAACTCCTTAGCACAATCGAGAAACACCCCCCCCACCCCTAGACTGGGCGCGGTGGCTCACGCCTGTAATCCCAGCACTTTGGGAGGCCGAGGCGGGTGGATCACGAGGTCAGGAGATCGAGACCATCCTGGCTAACACGGTGAAACCCCGTCTCTACTAAAAATAGAAAAAATTAGCTGGGTGTGGTGGCGGGCACCTGTAGTCCCAGCTACTCGGGAGGCTGAGGCAGGAGAATGGCGTGAACCCGGGAGGCGGAGCTTGCAGTGAGCCGAGATCGCGCCACCGCACTCCAGCCTGGGCGACAAAGCGAGACTCCGTCTCAAAAGCCGCCCCGTAGTTTGGAAGTTGCCTACCTCTCCAAATTCAACTGCCTACCTTTCACGTCTGGAACTTAACAAGCTAGTAAATTCAGAGGGTTTGCAGGTACGCAGATGTTCTATGCTTTGCCTAAATGCGTTTGCCACCCAGCTAACTTTGTTTTTTCGAGACAGAGTCTTGTTCTGTCTCCCAGGCTTGAATGCAGTGGCGCCATCTTGGCTCACTGCAACCTCCGCCTCCCAGGTTCAAGCAATTCTCCTGCTTCAGCCTCCTGAGTAGCTGAGATTACAGGCGCGTGCCACCACACCTGGCTAATTTTTGTGTGTTTAGTAGAGACGGGGTTTCACCATGTTGGCCAGGCTGCTTTCTAACTCCTGAGCTTTTAATCCGTCCGCCTCGGCCTCCCAAAGTGCTGGGATTTACAGGCGTAAGCCACCGTGCCCAGCCCTCCCAGCCAACTTTTAGCCTTCAAGACCTTGTACCTGTCTGGTCTCTAAAAAGTACCTGGTCTTTCAGTTGGGTCATACGGCCCTGCCTCCAAGTAACAGCGTAACCCATGCTGGAGACCTCTGAACAATTCCGTGGTGTGACACTGTCTGCGGATATGGCTGTCTTGTCTTTGGATCAGTGTGGTGGTTCAGAGGGTATACTAGGGATTCTAGAACACACTTCTGGCTCAGGGGCTGCTTGTGTAACTTCTCTTTCTCAGCTGCCTGGTTTATATCATGGATGATAGTACCTCCCCTCAGAGGATTGCTGTGTTTCATGAGGTGATACATGTATGGAACTTAGAAAAACAGCACAGGGTAACGGTAACAAGTGATTATTATGTAATGCCAAGTGCTGTTCTGTATTTTAAGTGATCTACATCTTGATCTTCACAGCAACCCTATAAAAGTGATACTGTTGGCCAGGCGTGGTAGTTCACGCCTGTAATCCCAGCACTTTGGGAGGCCAAGGCGGGTGGATCACCTGAGGTCAGGAGTTCAAGACCAGCCTGGCCAGCATGGTGAAATCTCGTCTCCACTAAAAATACAAAAATTAACCAGGCATGGTGGCATGCACTGTAATCCAAGCTACTCAGGAGGCTGAAGCAGGAGAATCACCTGAACCCAGGAGGTAGAGGTTCCAGTGATCTGAGATCGCGCCTCTGAACTCCAGACTCTGTCTTAAAAAAAAAAAAAAAAGTGATATTATCAACAATCTCATTTTGCAAATGAGGAAATCAACTTACAGAGGACCTGAGTGACTTGCTCACACTGCCAGGCAGGAAAGTGCTAGGATTTGAGCCCAAACTGTCCAGGGATGACACACTGCCATCGTGCCTCTCCAGAAACACTGGAGGTAGGTCTAGTACGCAGAGTAAATGTAAACGCTCAGAACAACTGTGGCCCTAATGACCTTCCCGTTTCTCCGGCTTTTACTCTCCCCTTAACTTCTGAATGGCTGTCTGCTTCCAATCTGCCAACTTGGGCTAAGATCCTCACAATGTTGCCTCTTGATTACTGTTAATGCACGGAGGTTGTCTGGAACATTCATAGGCAGCCTGATTGACTCAGTATATATTAGCTGAGCACCTATGGAGGGCACAGCCTGAGTGTTGGGAATTAGATCCTGTGGGCTGTCATGCAGTGGAGACGCCTGTGAGCCCTCTGTCCTGTACAAAGGCAGCCAGTGGAAGGGCGTGTCCTTGTTGGTGCTCAAAGTAATCTGCTACTTCTCTTACTATACTTTTCATTCATTGATTTTTTTTTTATTATTATTATTATTTTGAGACGGAGTCTTGCTTTGTCGCCCAGGCTGGAGTGCAGTGGCCGGATCTCAGCTCACTGCAAGCTCCGCCTCCCGAGTTCACACCATTCTCCTGCCTCAGCCTCCCGAGTAGCTGGGACTATAGGCGCCCACCACCTCGCCCGGCTATTTTTTTGTATTTTTTAGTAGAGACAGGGTTTCACCGCGTTAGCCAGGATGGTCTCGATCTCCTGACCTCGTGATCCACCCATCTCGGCCTCCCAAAGTGCTGAGATTACAGGCGTGAGCCACCGCGCCCGACCCATTCATTGATTCTTAAATCGCTGTTGAAGGCATACTCTGCAGGTACTCTTTTGGGCACAGAGATACAGTGTTAGTAAGACAAACCCTGTTCCTGGGTCTTATGGGCTTTACATTCCAATGGGATAAGCAACTAAGTAAATATTCTCAGAGTAGTACCAAGAAGAAAAGGAACAGGATGATCAAATGCAGTGGCTTGGAGATCTCAGGTGGTAAGAGAAGGTCGCTCTAAAAAGATAACATTTGAAGGCTGGGCACGATGCCTCACACCTGTAACCACAGCACTTTAGGAGGCTGAGGAAGGAGGACAGCTTGAGGCCAGCCTGGGCAACATAGGGAGACCTTGACTCTACAAAAAATGTAAACATTAAGTATGATGGCACGTGTCTGTAGTCCTAGCTACTGGAGAGGCTGAGGTGAGTGGATCTCTTGAGCCCAGGAGTTTGAGACTGCAGGGAGCTATGATTGTATTACTACACTCCAGCCTGAGGGACAGAGTGAGACCCTGTCTCTTAAAAAAAAAAAAAAAAAAAAGACTGCATCAAAAGGTAACATTTGAGTGGGACTTGAAAGAGCGTGCATGTGAAGGACTGAAGACAGAATGTTCTGGCTGGGCGCGGTGGCTCACGCCTGTAATCCCAGCACTTTGGGAGGCCAAGGTGGGTGGATCACGAGGTCAGGAGATCGAGACCATCCTGGCTAACACAGTGAAACCCCATCTCCACTAAAAATATAAAAAATTAGACAGGTGTGGTGGCGGGCACCTGTAGTCCCAGCTACTCGGGAGGCTGAGGCAGGAGAATGGCGTGAACCCGGGAGGCAAAGGTTGCAGTGAGCCGAGATTGTGCCTTTGGTTAAGTCACTTTCTCTATTTGAGTTTCAGTTTCTCACCTGTAAAATATGAGTCATTTTATCTATATTAGCCAGTGTGTAATTAGAGGAAAAACCATTTAATACAGAGTATTGTTTACAAAGATGTTGGAAGGGCATGAGAACCAAGGGGAGGACAGGGGCACCCAAAGCCTAGTAACTGGAGGTAGCTACTATGACCCCCACAAGGCTGGAGGAGCAAAAGGAAAATTCGTTTCCAGAAACTGATTCCTCAGCTGCTGAGCAGGAGCCTGGAGCTGCACTTGCCGCCTGGTGCTACTGACACACAACTGGAACCACCAGTGTGGCCTGGGGTGCAACCAGAAGCCAGAGATTGGAATTGCTTTCCCCATCTCACATCTTCCAAATTCCCACCAATGCCTCCCACTGGCTGAGTCAGATGACAAGGGAGTCTGGGAAATGTAGTTCTCTGGCTTCCAGCCCTGACCATGGAGCATATAGAAAGGCAGGTGTAGGAGAGAAAATAGATGCCTCTTGTCTTCACAAGCACTTGTCTTCACACAGCACTTGTCTTACAGGGCTGTTTTGAGGAGTAAAAACTCACCCTATTTTTATTCCTTATAGCATGTAGTAGCATTCAGGGAAAGGCAAATCTTCCAAAACAATGTCTTAGGTATAATAGTTCTATGTAAAGGTTTGAATTTACCATTAAAAGCATCAAAATGAGCATTTTAAAAGTAGAATTTTAAGTCTGAATGGACAGTATATTCACATGGTATAAAATTCAAATTACAAAACAATATACAGTGAAAAATAAGGGGTTTTTTTTTGCCCATCTTGTGACCTGGCTCTTTCCATCTCTGTCCAAAACCCTCTGCAGGCTATCTCTGGTACCTTTGTTATGGATCCTCTGCAGATATAAAGTAGACATATATTAACAAATGTTTTCTTTGGCCCAGAGG